TAGTCCCAAAACCTTCTGCAGAATAAAACTGTCCACCACAGCATCATGGCACTTAGCTGCCAATGCTGCTGGCAGAGAAAAATAGTGGTCATCTGTTAATTGCTGTTTATATGAGGAACCTCCTGACATCACGTATAAATGTGCTATTGAAAACAGCTTGAACCTCTGGCTCCTGATTTTGTCATAGTTTAGCGTGTTTCAGAGTAACCTTTTCTATATCATTTACCATTTTTCTTACTTGCATTAAATACTGGACAGTCCTTGCATCACCTTTCAAGGCTGAAAGGCCCACATTTCTCCAGCCTTTTCTCACGGTGGCTCAGTGGTTAGTACTGATGCCTCACAGCACCAGGGACCTGGATTTGATTCCACCCTTGGCGACTGTGTGGAGTTTGCACATTCTTCCTGTGTTTGCATGGGTTTCCTCTAGGTGCTCTGGTTTCCTCCCACAGTCCAAAGATGTGCAGGCAAGGTGGATTGGCCATGCTAAATTGCCCTGTAGTGGTCAGGGAGGTGTAGATTAGGTGGTTTATAGGGGTGTGGGTCTGGGTGGGATGCTCCAACGGTTGGTGTGGACTTGTTGGGCCAAAGGACCTGTTTCCACACTGTAGGGATTCTATGATAATACAGGCTCATGGCTGAATTAGTTTCACAGCTCATTTTTGCGGCGGCTGCAGGACTTGACGAGTTTGTTATTTTGCTGTTACTTTTGCAGTTAACTTGACTTTAATAGATTAAACTATTTCATCAACAGTATTATTACATTGCTTTTGAGTTGTGTGGAGATCATTCTGAGAATATCACACAACTTTGGATTACATTGATATCTTCAAAAAAGGGAAGTCTCAGGAGGTTGAATCTTACTTGTTTTGGTTAAGTGCAAGTTGCATTGAGTTTTGTGGATGTTTGCTCATTACAAGGCCTCGTAAGAGTTCTTGCCCTATCATGACAAACCCACCCCATTAATTACCTACACCACCCCTACGGCAGCCCTCATGTCCAATGCTATCTCCATCTTAGCATGTGTTTTTCCCAGAACAACCTACCACTCATGGTTATCTGCCAAAAGACTGACATCCCTGGTGCCCACGCCATGTGTAAAAATCCATTGTGCACTGGGACAAGCATTGGCAATCCGAAGCTGGCCTACTCGGTGACAGGCTGTCATTCTGAATATGTCAGGGAAGTGGAAAATGGCACCACGATTCTCCAGCAGGGGCCTGGTGATCCTGGTGGAGGGAGGGGTGATACAAAGCAGAGGAGCCCTTTTCCCAGACCCTGACAGCTTGGTCTGAGGTCATTACCCAGGTCAGTGCAATCTCCACGATACGGAGGAACAGCCTGCAGTGCCGCAAGAAGGTCAGTGACCTTCTCTGCTCCACCAGGATGTCATACTCATCTCTTTCTGCTACCTCTCACTTCCCCTATATGTGCTGGAGCATCCACCTCCCACCAAGGCTCATGTTGTGACACTCTCAATATTGCCTGCAACATCTCCCCACACTCGCTCTCATTCTCCCCAACCTCCCACACTATTAACCCCACATGCCCTCTGCACTGCCTACCCACTTGCCCTGAACACCTCACCAGTTTTCAATTACCAGCACCAGCACTAACAGCCATGCCATCCATTTTCAACTCACTCAGTATCTCTCTTTATTTCACTAAAGGAGTAAACAGCTCACAGTAGGGCAGAAAGGCCTGGCTGGGTGGAGGGATGCTGATGTCAGGCTCTTTGGCCTCTACAAAGAGAGGATACTGTCCCTTGGAGCTGAAGACTGGGGCCACTCCTGTGGGGATGCTGAGACATCTGTGTGCCACCAACTGAGTAAGTCCCATTCTTCATCCACTGTGACTCTCACACCCCCCGAGGTGTCAGTGTCATTCATTGCACACCATTTCTAACCACTGGCTGCAATGCTATTTCTCCCTTGTGTCCTGCAGGTGGGATGTCCATGACCCCAGCGGAGAAATGGCCAGCTCTACCTTCTCTTTGACCTCTGAAGAAATAACGAAAACCTCAGAGGAATTATCAGCAAGGCTCCTGCTACACCCACCTCCAGCTCAGATATTAACGCCTTGGTTGGAATGTCACACTTGGAAAGTTTGGGAGCACAAACTCAGGAGCACCTCACTGCAACAGTTCCACAGCTGTCTGAGGAACAGCCCAGGTCACTGACACATGGAGAACTGCTAGAGACCAGGTACCTGCTCAGTCCCAAGCAGGAGAGGAGCTGGTGCTGTCAGCAATGTGGACTTTGCCCACATGCACAGGGTGGAACAGGAGCAGCAGACAGGTATGTGGGACACAATGGTCCTCAATGTCCAGTGTTTGCAGCAGTACAATTATGCTATGGGCAACCCAGCTGTCCCAAGCATGAGACTGTCTAGCTGGCCCTATGGAGAGGTTAGTAGCTGCCATGGAGAGTCAGGTCCAGCACCCTTGGGATCGGCTGGAGAGGGGCACATACCGGTACTCCATCACCTTTGCCATTGGTCCTCAGGACCGAAGACATGGCAACAGGAGGACGGCAAACCAGGTGAGGACTCCAGCTGCCCCTTCCTCACGAGGAGACAGGGTGGTGCCAGGAAGTATCCAGCTGGAGGAGGAATCACGTGCAGGGTCCTGCAGACGTCTCCTCTCAGGATACTCCAGAAGTGGCTGAGCCCACTATCTCCATCCTGACTCTCCTCCTCCGAACTTTGGAAGTTCAAACTGAGGAGGGGTCCACTTGCTTCTGGTAAGAAGACCCTCGGCAGGTCAGGGACATCCAAATAGAGATGGCCCAAGATCATCCAACCGATCCTCAAAGGCCAATGGCCTGCACTACCCAGGAGGCTCCCTCCAACCCAGCTACAGACCCTGGGTGTACACTGAGACGGACTGGGATGGACAGAAAGAAAAACCCTTTTGGAGAGCACTTTGGCGACAGGGCACTGCGCATGAAGTATCACATTCGTATTAACGTGCTTGTTTTTGTACTACATCTGTTTGTTTGAATCTCTGTGTAGCCCAGAATGTAAATGTACTAACGTCATGGCCACACAGGATGGATCAAGGATTATGTGTGTTAAGCATCCTGGCAACAAAATGACCAGGCCGAATACAGGGCAATGGGTCCTGCTGACGTCCTAAAACATCTCAATTCTTTCCCTGGCCTCTGTATTCAAAAATACTGGTGTGAACACAGTTAGTCAGTGATGTTTAGGGCACGGAGCTGCACAGCAAACAGGGAGCCAATGCATTGGGATCACCAAAGATTAGGGACCCCATAGATCTATGTCCTGGATAGTACATGGTTCTGTACAATGTTCTTGCCCTTTAAAAGCCCATCATTTGTGGATCTTGCAGCCCCCTCCCTCACAGCTCAAGTCACTTACCCCAGCCACTTTGGGTGTGGTCACAGACATCATGATGGCAGCAGAGTAGGGCTCCTCCACTCCGATCGCTGTTCTTTTCTCTTCTGGCAGAACAACCCAGCTTTTCAGTTTTTCCATGTGACTGTACCCCTCATCTCTAGAATCATTCTAGTAAATCTCTTTTCTACCCACCTAATTTCTGTAGAGACTGGACATTTGTTTCCGGCTACTGGAGAGAATGTTATAATATGTCTTTTTTAAATCGCTCAAAAACAACTGCTAATTTTTTGTGCTATGATCCTAATGGTGGATATCCTTCTATGGCCTGTTAAAGTTTGGTAGATGGGTCCAAATATGACACTGACTGAATGTGTATAATCCAGTTGATGAGACTTTTTCAACCTGTTAAAAGTATAGCTGGTGGGTAAAGAGGCACTGATTCCTGTGGGACTGGAGTGGAAAAGTGGATGGACATGCATGACAGCACTCAGTCCAGATCTAATCAGATTTTCATTAAATGAGCTGCTCCTTTGGAGAGCTGTCGTAGACACGATGGGCCAGATAGCCTCTTTCTGTACTGTAACATTTCTGTGATTCTAAATATGCTGACTGTAAATGATATTGAAAGAAAACCCTGTAAACACATGAGGAATCAGGATAATAGTTTTATCTGTACAAATACAAGATTGAACCCAAAACCTTAGGATCTCAAGGTCTGGAATTGCAAGCCCCAGTCCTAATATGAGCTCACCAATGTACTTTTTAGTAAGGAACTCTAAGATCCTTACCCAGCCTGGCCCTTATGCACTCCAGAACTCACTGTTGACCCTAAACTGCCGTCTGAAATTACCAAGCAAGCTACTTGGTTGTATTCAAGAATGTGGTTCACCACCAACTCCTCATAGCCAATTAGAAATAAATGCCAGCCTAAGCAGCTACATCCACATCCCCGAAGAAGCAAAATGAAACAAGTCTGAGCTTACATAGTAAGAACTAGATTAATTTTCTTAACTAGTCAATCGCAAGGCAGATGAGGTGGGAAAATGGGCCAACTAAGCATGGAAAGAGACTGCACCCATGTGACCACACTTTCCCTGTCCCTGTTAGGTTTCCCATACTATGCTTTGAGTTACACACTCCTCTTCCCGTCCCTGTATTTCTATATATGGTCTGACTTCTGGCATATGCAATCCAGATATTTTTCCTTACTCCTTTACTTGTCAAAACATTTTTAACTTCTGCTCCTCCTCAATGACCCTAATCAGAATGAGTCAAGACAAAGCCATTTCCCACAGATGTGCCCATCTGGAACAGTCTCAAGTGTCCACAAATTTCCACATTCTGCAGTAACAGAACCATACAGCAGTGCAGCACAGGAGACCATTCAGCCCATCAACTATGCACCAGCTCTTTCAATGGGCAGTCTAATCAGTTCCATTGCCCTGCTCTTTCTCTGTATCCCTGTAATTTTTTTTTCCAAGTATTTATCTAATTCCCTTGTGAAGGCTGCAGTTGAATCTATCCACCTACATTCCAATCTTAGTCATTCATTGCATAAAATGCTTTTCCCCATATCATCTGGCTCTTTTGCCAATCACCTTAAATTGGTGCATTCTGGTCATCAAACCCTTCAACCACCGGAAACAGTTTATCTTTATTTATTCTACATAAGCCCTTTAGGATCTTAAACACTGCAGTCAAATCTCCTCTTTGACTTCTCTGCTCTTAAGGAGAACAACCCCCAGCTTCATCAGTCTGTCTTGACGAGTGGAATCACTCAATCTCAGCCATTCTGTACTCTCTCCAAAGCCTTCACATTTTCTCCGAAGTGTGGCGCCCAGAATTGGGCAGTATTCCAATTCCCAAAGGGCCAAAGGCATCTTTCTGCATTAAGAAAGACAATTGGTTAAATACAGCTTGAGGGGCACTACTCCACAAGCACAAAGTAAGGTGAGGGGGCAGGGTCTCTGTTTACTGCAACAAATGCATGGAACGCTAGAGAAACTCTGCAGATTCGGTAGCATTTGTGGAGAGAGAAACAGAGTTAACATTTTGATTTAAAAATGACTTCTTCAGAACTCTCGTTCTCGATGCATAAAAGTGTGAGATGATAGATTTTGGTAGTAAGAATGAGGAGAGACAACACAAATTAAGTGGTGCCATTTTAAAAGAAAACCAAAATTTCGAAAAAGAGTCAAAACTTTCCCTCTGTTCCTCTTTCCGCAGGTGCTGCCAGACCTGCTAAGTTTCTCCAGCCTTCTCTGCGTTTGTTTCAACGTTCCAGCATCCACAGTATTGCCTTTATTCTCTGTCTACTACCACAGCTGGTATAGGGATTGAACATGTGTTGTCAGTTTTATTCCACTGGTTTACCAACTGAGCGAACCGCCCCAACTAATACTTTATATAGGTTTATTGTAACTTCTGGCTTTTGAACTCTATGTCTCTATTTGTCCCATATACTTTATGAAGTGCTGTGTTAACTTGCCTTGCCATCTTCAAACATTTGTTTACAGCATTTACAAGTCTCTTCTTCACCATTTTTAAAATTCTCCCACTTAATTAGTATTTTCTCTCCTCTCCTTCTTCCTACCAAAATATGTCGCCTCAATGTGTCCATTCATCTCACCAGTCTGTCTGTATTGTCTTGAAGGCTTTTGCTTCTTTCTCACTGTTTACAATAGTTCCAAGTTTCATGACATCTGCAAATTTCAAACTCATGCACTGTATCAATAAGTGAAGCTCATCAATATACATCACAATATATGTCCCAACACTGCATGTGCTGCTATTATTTTTTAGTGGTTTCTTCTTTCCAAGTCAATAATCTTTAATATTGGCTTTTGATTATCAGCATTTATGGTTACTGGATTTCATTTTGTACTTTTTATTGCTTGCTTTAGTTCAATTGGTTTATTTATTTCTCTTTTTGATATCAGTTTTTATTTATTTAAATATTATTACTTAAAAACTGTTATGTAGGTCTTGCCTTTGACCGCAGATTTATTAATTTCTATTCATGTGTTTTAATCCTTTAAACAGATGTTAAAGGATGAGTAAATAATTGAAGACATTCTTCATTCTCACCTGTTTCAAATTCCTGTGCTCAGCAAATTCTCAATTTAAAGTCTTCACTTTATTATGAGCTTATTCTGCTGTGCCCTCTGATCGAGCTCTGATTTCTCACAAGTATTTACCATTTAAATACTGTTACAATACAAAGTTTATAAGTTTTATTATGTTTTGGGAATGTCTGTTTATTTTAAGGTAAAATTAAGTAATGAAGGCTGGTCTTCTCCAAATCCTGCTGGCCTTGATTGGTATAGGGACTGTGAACTGCAGATTGATTTACTGTAAAGAAGGTGCAAGATATTCACACCTGTAGACAATAGTAAGGGTATTTATGATGACTCTGGGTGGACTGTTAATCTCAGGTCTCATTGGGAGGGGTTAGGAATGTCATATATTTGCAAATAGTTATATTTCAAACTATTATAGTCATGATTGAATAGAGTTGGGGGCCCAGAAGATAGCTAATTAGTATTTCTACTTGGATATAAGGCCTGTGTGATTCATATTACCATGGGACGGGCTTTAGAAGGGAACAGTCCATCAGAAGCCTTTGTAGGATCAGGTTACAGGGCTTCACCTAAGATATCACTGAAACTCACAGACTGGTTAGTCGGCAGGAATCTGGAGGCAAAGATAGAGATATCAGATAGGTCGAATCGTAGAGTCAAAGAGATGTACGGCACGGAAACAGATCCTTTGGTCCAACTCGTCCATGCCAACCAGATATTCTAAATTAATCTAGCCCCATTTGCCAGCATTTGGTCCATATCCCTCTAAACCGTTCCTTTTGTTCATGTTCACCATGTAGAATGCAAGTGGGAACTTGCACTTAGATTGAAAAGAAGAATTTTGTGAAGATTTTTAAAAAGACTGGAATATTCACTTAGATTTGATTAGATGGAGGGATCTTTAAGATAAATGACACCATGAAAGCCAAAATGGCAATTAGAAATTATCCAGCTGGAAAAAAGGAAAATGAAACAAGCCATTCGAAGCTGACAATAGCCGTTGACTGGTCCCTCAGAGAATGAAGAGTCCACTTAAGGGGCAAAGTAAGTATATCTACGGAGGGGCTTGTCACTTTAAAAGATAAAGGGGGAATCTTTTCTGTAGTTCAGACTGGTATAAATTGCCCATTGACTATATAATGTTGCTTACAGTTAATTCATTTTAGTTTATAACAGTAAAAGTCTTAAAACTTAATCTCGGCATGTAATTCTTCTGGTTAGCTCCTGGGAATTCAAATATCTTTTAAAAAATTCAGTCTCTATGGGAATACTGTTGAGTCACTGTTCCAGTTGGACAGTTAGTCCCCAGTCTCTCACCATAACAAAAGCAAAAATACTGTGGATGCTGGAAGTCTGACATCAGAACAAAACGTGCTCAGGAAACTCAGCAGGTCAGGTAGAATCTGTGGAAAGAAACAGAGTTAATGTTTCAGGACAATGACCTTTCATCAGAACTGAAAAGGGGGTAGAAATGTAAAAGTTTTTAATGCAATGGAAGTGGCGAAGGAGCAGGAAGAATCAAGGACTAACACCCAACCAGTGACCTATTTACGACTGACTAACAGTCAACTGCTATTTGACGAGCATTTTTAAAATTAAAAACTAAGTTCAAATTGCAGTTTCATATTTAAAAGTATACAATTTCCATACTACTTACCATTAAATGCCACTTGCATCAAATTTCCCAGTTTATTGATGCTGATTTGATGCGGATTAGTGGGAAAGCTGCTGAATGGTATTAATCAAATCACTGAAGTCCCTAGGTATATCATCTGGGCTCCAGATCCAATTACTTGTAGGCGGAACTGACAGCCCTCAGCACTTTCGTACCCAAAGTGACTTTGGCAACAGTCACAATTAACATGCCAGAAGATGTAACTGTCCTTTGGTTGTATGTTGGTGGCACCTCTGCTACAAGTCATTTTAAAATTGTGATGTGCTCCAGGGTGGAAATATATCCATTGTGGTTCCACAAATGCAACAGACAAACACCTCTAACTGATCTGCAGTGTCTGTAGACATGTTTGATGCTCTTCAAGCATCATGCTTTAAAGCACAAGATATCCAAGACTCATGATCAAAGCCAGAGGTTTCTGAACTTCCAATCAGCATGTCTACCTCATCCTCTTTCAGCCAGCTTCTCATAGACATTCAGGCTGTGGACCCCAGTGTGCATGTTCCCTTCTGGCTTAATTACTGCTCTCCCTAGATACATGTTTCTGGGCTGGTGCTTGTCATGTGTAAAGAGGTGCTGGCCAAGACTGAAGCAGAGGGGCCAGGTTCCTTGTTCTGCTCTTTGTCTGCTCGCTGCTGTGGCAAACCTATGAAGGCACAAAAGGAAAACCTTAGCAAAAGGAGCTGAGCTAATGCAATGGCCATTGATCCATCAATATAAGGTGAAGGAGATCCAAGTGTGTACCTCATGCTGGAAAGTCGAATATCACATTTAATGCAGCCAGACTATGTCGGGGGAAATGGGAAACTTGCTCATTACAGTGAGTGGATTATTACAATTTCAAACTGCCATTTATCTTGTTTGTCCTGGTGAGATCATTGAATTTTTTTCTGATATTGAACACTATGCTGTGTTGGGCTGTAATGCAGTTTGGCTCAGTGTCCAACTTTTGACCCATGTCCCACAGTGAATAACATCCTACCTTCTGTTTGGTGACCCCTTCACTCAGCCCAGTTGAGATGGTAAATCTCATTCAGCTCACTTAT